ATCTAATAATAGACAGATGTCGTCGTCTCTCCAGATGTCTTTTTTATTTCTCTGTCGATAGCCCGACACGTGTTCCGCAGCCATCTTGTATTTTCTCGCGCGCGTGGGATTGTGGGATCTCTCTTATGACTGGATCTAGTTTCAAGAACTCTCTCCAGTCGATCGCGATTTAGCCTCGTTTCAGTCGAGATTGAAACGGTCGAGAGCGTTCGCACCACGGAACTCTCTCCGACCTTAGTCACAATCTACATCGAAATGCTCGGTGCGAACGGGGTATTAGAGTTGGTTTGATGGGTTATGGCAACACAACATGTGGGCAAATACCAAAGGGTTTTCTATGGGAATCTGGCTCCTGTTTAGATGTTAGACACGGGGAGAAAATCGGGAAACTCCATAGATCAGGCCGGAACGCACGACCGACTACTACAGTTATTCAATGGTTTTTTTCACTCGACGTAATATGGAATTGAAATAAATGATAAGGAAGATTAAATTAATTTGATTTCTGTAAGGTTTGTTACGTTTATTGAATGGAGTTATATATATCTTTCATGATTAATTTTTTCGGAGACGTTTGGAATAAATAAATTTCTTGTAGAATAAGTTGTTTAATGTGAATTAAAATCTTTCAACATTTACTTTTTCTTAAATTTTTTCTCTGTTTAAATTTATTTACAAATTCAATATTTGAATTTGTAAATAAATTTAAACGGAAAAAAATGTGTATTTTATTTGAATGACTACTGTATTTAGTTACTTAGATCAGCAACAGAATATGAAATGAAACATGAAATTAGGACTGGAAAAATGTTCATAAAGCACAGTGATTTATAAGTATTATTCACAACACACTTGTGTTTTTTGAAGCATAAATAATATTTTTTTCAAATTGGTGCAAGAATTAAAAAAATATACATATATATATATTAACTCTCCGCCTTGTAGACACTAAGAAAGCCTATTGTTAGCAAGCCAATTATGGGTTCGGCCAGATCCACATTGGGACAGCCGGATAGTGAAGAACGGGGCCCAAAATATCTAGACGGATCACTCTCCGAAAAATTCCTTGGGTTTTCGACCGATCCGAATCCGATTCCTGACGACCAGCCGAGGAGGGATGCTTCCGGGAAGATCTTCAATGGGAAACTGGCCTTTATTTAGGTGTTACAAACACGAAAAACCCGGAAAACTTCACGTGGTTGGCCCAAACCCGATCTCGGGTTAGCCAGGCGCAAACCCGAGATCAGTATTCAGTAGTTTTATTCATTTGGTCACTGGTGTACTTTAAATATTTTGCATGATTGTTTAATGCTTTTTTTAATTTTTATGCATTTACGGATAGCATTGAATTTGTTATGATAATTTATTTGATAATTGAAATCTATATGTTTTTTTATAACAACATACAAGTAACATATTTACGTGGTATATAACCAAATGAATATTATCTACTTTAATTTAAAATAGATAAGAGTTAATTCAGATTTTACAAATAGTAATAGTGGCCGAATGGCCGAAATGATTAGAGTCAGTTTACCGCTCTGGAAACCAGGCAAACCAACAATAGAAATTTGTTATGAGTGGTGAATCCCGGTTAGGTCGGGTCCGTTATGGGTTTGGCCGAACCTACGATGTGTAAGATAAATGACCCCTTAGTGCCCACAGGGTAGAGAGCCGAAGAAAAGGGGAAAAATCATTGTCTGTAAAGTTTAATTCATCATTTATTATATTTTATATCCACCACTTTTCCCTCTCGATTTTCCTCCTTTCCTTTATCCCAATGGTTCCCATCGTCATGCCATTCTTATACGAAAAAATGACAAAGAGAAATGATCATGTCCATATAGCAAGCATTAATATAAATTCTTTGTTCCATCGCTACATGTGACCATAGCTTAAGAGATAGGTTGGAATATCGACGATTAAGATGATAAAGGAACTTATCGCGATGAATGAAAGTAGTACACGGGTGGCGGATCTGGCACCCATGTTTATGATGCCGAAGTCATCTGTGCGCGACTAGTAAATGCAAATTTTCGTTTTATTATACGAGTACAGTATTTACATATTTTATTTATTGTTTTCGTGTTTTAATTTATTATTAGAGCATTTATGTGTATTTGCTGTTATAAGTTTATTGAAATGGGTATTGGTTAGGTTTTTTAATTCGATTACGGCAACGCGACGCATGGGCGATCTGCCGAAGGCGGAATGCATCCCGGGAGTCTTTTATGGGAAACTTGTCCCCTATTTAGGTGTTGAAGAAAACCTGGAAAACTCCACGTGGTCAGCCCGTTGGCGAGGCGCGAACCCACGATCAACTGGAGCTTATTCCTATGATTTTTCTCGAAAATTTTTGAAATGTTGCAGGATGGTTTGTGTATTACGACATTGCGCAGCGAGCATAAGACCCGCTCCATCTCCCCACCCACTCCTGATGGTGGGGAGATGGAGCGAGTCTTATGTCATATCTGGAGTGGTGTCGGACTTCATAAAGATTTTGCTTGTTATTGTGAAGTCCCGAAAATGGAGTCAAAAGTACGACTAATTACAGTCGACCCCTATAACACTATTGATTTTTCCGTTTTATATGAATTCCATGTTGTACGAGTCACTTAGATTTTACAAATACGTGTGCCGGGCTGTGAACGGCACACGTATTTGTAAAATCTAAGTGACTCGTACAACATGGAATTCATATAAAACGGAAAAATCAATAGTGTTATAGGGGG